CTCGGTGCATTCTACTCCCCTTCGAAATGTCTGTCCTGCTGATCAGGGCTGGACTACATGGGAGGTTGGCTTCTTCCTTTCTATTTAATGAAATTATTGTTATTGAGGTAGGTGGGTTTACAACAAGGCATATGATTTGGGGGGTAGAGGGTCACCCCTCCTCAAATGTGTGTTATCACACCACGCCCACCAAAGCAAAACAATCCTGCAGCTTAGCCTGTTGGGCCTCCCAGCTTTGCTCCCACCTTCCCCTCTGGTAGCCTCAGTTCTGCAGTCAGATTTCAAGGGTTAGTTGGGTTTGGTCTTCTCAGTTCCTTTGCTTTGTCTCTGTATAGTCCACATAGGAGTGAAAATCATCCAGTATTTGTCTTTCTCCTTCTGATTTATTTCACCCAGCATAATCTCCTCCAGTTCTGTCACTGTTGCAAATGAGTTCATCTTTTTTTTTTTTTTTTAATAGCTGAGTAGTATTCCATGGTGTATATACACTGCATCTTCTTTATCCACTCATCTGTGTTTGGGTACTTAGGTCATGTCCATAACTTGCCTATTGTAGATAGTGCTGTGGTGAACATTGGGGTGCACATATTCCTTCAAATTAGTGTTTTGTATTCTTAGGCTCGACCCTGAGAAGTCAGATTGTTGGATCATAGGGAAGATTTATTTTTAAAATTTGAGAAACCTCCATATTGGTTCAACCCACAGGGGCTGGACCAGTCTACATTCCCACTGAGGGTTCCTTTTTCTTCTCACTCCTGCCAACACTTGTTGTTCCTGGTCTTTTTGATACAGCCTCTTCTCACAGGTGTGAGATGGTAGCTTATTGTGGTTTTGATTTGCATTTGATTTGCTGATAATAAGTGATGATGAACATTTTTTTTTGTGTGTGCCTGTGGCCATCTGTATGTCTTCTTTGGAGAAGTGCCTATTTAGCTCTTTTCCCCATTTTTTGATTGGTTGTTTGCTTTCTTATTGTTGAGTTGTGTGAATTCTTTGTACATCTTGGATATTAGTTCCTTGTCAGATGTATGGTGTTCAACTCTTTACTCCCACTTGGTGGGATATCTGTTCATTTTGATGATAATTTCTTTTGTTGTGCAGAGTTTTTTAATTTGATGTGGTCCCATTTGTTTATTTTTGCTTTTGTTTTCCTTGCCATTGGAGTCGGATCGGGGAAGACATCCCTGAAGTCAGCATTATGGAGTGTCTTGCCTCTGTTTCCTTCTATGTATTTTATGGTTTCAGGTCTTACATCAAAGAATTTTATCCATTTTGAGTGGATTTTTGCGTATGGTGTGAAGGTGGTGTCAGAACTTGGGAAGTCCAATTTTCCATCCACACACTTCCTTTTGGACCCACCGTAGGGCTGAGCTGGTAGAAGGAGGGCCAAGGCAGGAGCCCTGGGACCCATCTTGACTTTGCCACCAGCTTGCTAGGTCTTTCTGGGCAGGTGGCTCAGCCTGTCTGGCCAACGGAAGATATAGCCCAAGGCTCTTGCCCTGGCCAGCAGTGGAGACAGGGGAGAACAGAGTTCCAAGTCCCATCCATATCTATCACTAGTGATTATGCTTACACAATAAATCCTATACTCACCAGAATGTTTAGTGAGTGGGAAGTTCTGGTTAATTGAATGTTCTGCGACATGGAAATGTTCCCAGAAAGCCTTGTTGTTTCTTCCATGTCTATTGAAATCCATTCACTCATCTATTGAGCAAACATTTATCTCTTGCCAATAATCTACCAGGCTTTGTCCCAGGTATTGGGGATTCCACCGTGAATGAGACAGCACTTTCAACCCCCAAGGACTCACAGTCCAGGGAAACAGATGGGTCAAAAGTACCCCAAACACAGAAAGGGCCCTCTCACAAGGGCTACATGATGATGTGGGAGCAGGGGAGTCCAGACTTGGGGTGCTAAAGAAGAGAACCTTGAGATGGACCATTTATGTTGAGAGCATCAAAGAGCAGTGAGTCCCAGTGTGTGGGGGATGGAGCAATGATGGTGTTCCAGGCAGAAGGAACAGCATGGGCACAAGCCTTGTACCTTCATTTGTGCTGGGGAGCTTAGAATATGAAGCTGGGCAGGTAAGAGAGAAGGTTATGTGTGTGTCAGAGAGTAAGACAGTGGAGGGAGGAGGCCCAGGAATCCCCGAGAATGTGTCTGTGCTGTGATATTTTTTTCTCGTATGTAAAAGTAGAATATAGAAGAAAAATGAAATAGAGACATGAATTCATGAGGGGGGGCCTCCAAGTAAGATGGATGACACAGGCAAGCAGACCATGCTCTGTGCAGGGGCCCAGTGCTCCTTGGGGCCTGCGGAGTGTGACCACATGGGAGCGTGGACCTGGCATTATCAGTTGTTCAGACTTGTCAAGAGAAGCCAGCGTTCTGATTTTTATGGGAACTCTTCCAATTGTTAACTGTTGGTAGCTAATTGACGACAACAACAACAAAATCACTGTGGGCAAAACAAAATGCTTCTGTTTTTCCATTTGTTCCATGAGCTGGTAGATTACAACCCTGGATCCAGACATTGGTGAAGGTTTGAGGGTGTGTATTTGGAATCCACTATGATTCTCTGATGTTGACTGTGCCACTAACTTGTGTTAGGCATGGGGGTGGGGGGATGATGGGGACCTGGGGCACCACCCTTGCCCTCGAGCTGGAGACAGTTCAAGTCAGTAGTCCTTGCCTAGAGTCCACTAACAAAATAAGCAAAGTGCTAACCAAGCAACTAACCAGAGCAGTGAGTGCTGCCAAGTTCGTGGGGAGGTGGTCAAGCAACAGACCATGTGGGGAGGGTTCTTGGGGATGCCTGGTCTTGAATAGATCTGGGAGGGGGTACAGACATTTCAGACTAAGGGACCCAGGAGGGCTCAGGCCCAGGAGGAAATAAACTAACCAAGGAGGGGAGTCTGAGTAGATGTAGGCCCAGGGTTTGTTCTTGGCTCTGTCTGTGCCAGCAGGGCCTGGGCATCTAAACTCCGGCCCAAGACTTAATGCACTGTACTCAGGTCAATCGGTGGACACCCAAAGTTCTTCCTGCTTTGCTGGTATTCTAGAAACCTTCCTCCCTGATGTCATGGACATGGTTTATTCACCCCTGGAATGGAAGCTCCACCAGGCCAGGGGCCATGCTGTTTTTGTTCAGTTGTCACCTGTGTGCTTAAAACAAAGTGAGTAGTCAATACTTAGTGGGGGCCTATTAGGCGCCTCCTATTGGCTTCAGCTCTGGGCAAGTCTAAGAACAATTCTTAAGACAAGCTCTATGGAGCTTATGTTCCTGCATGAACAATAAACAAGCAAACCAACCAATGAATAAGACGATTGCAGAGAGCTGGTGCGAGTGACTTCTCACTGCACTACTATAGTGGCCTGTTGATTGGTGTCTCCTCCCAGCCTAGGAGAGCCAAGGGGGCAGGCTGAGGTCTGTCTGGGTCCTTGCTTCATTCCTAGCCCCAAAGGCTGGTGCCTGACTAATAGGGAGTAGTTAAAAAAATGTTTTTCCTGGCTGCATTGAATGAATAAACACAGGCGGACCAGGATTCCAACCTCCACACCTGTGCCCTTCGGAGGCTGCGGAACTCATTATTATCAACCCAGGAGTAATTGCTGATAAGCCCAAGTGTGCATTTCATGGCAGTAGAGAGGTAGCAGGGCAGTGTTTAAGAACAACAGGGATAATCTTAATGAATGACCTGATAACTATAATTAATTGCATCCTATCTGGAGGCCCTCTTTGGAATTCTGGGAGGGAGTAACTAGTTGGCGGACCCAGGGCTGGAAAGGAGCTCCTCTGTTCTACCACAAACTTGCTGGGTGACCTTGGCAAGTCACTCACAACTCTGCGCCTCAGTTTCCTCCTTGGGAGCCATGGCAGACATGCTGCTGGTCCCAAGCCCTCTGCCTTGCCAGTCCTCAATACCTGCAGTTTTTAGGGTCAGGGTTACTGGGTGGTCCCTGGAGGTGAAGGCTGATCTCAGGTGCCACAGTTGGGCTGGAGGGCTCTCTGCCAGGGAGGCTGGGTAGGGGCACCTCCCACATGGGGGTTCTCCTGGGGACTCTGCCTCTCAGAAACCACTGGGCTGACTCCTGGAAGTGCGGGAGGAGAAGCCAGCCCACAGTAGACGCTTGCCAGGGGTGGGGGACAAAAGGGATTTGGGGTGGTGTAAGGTGTTCAGTGGGGAGAAGCTGGAAGTGGTGGAGGGCTGGGGGTGAGTGAGTCAGGTGGTCCCTGGGAGCCCCGGCAGGGCCCCACCCGGTGGGTGTCAGCTTCCCCTTGGGGGTGTGAGGGGTCTGTGGGGGGTGTGAGGGGTCTGTGGGGCATGTGAGGGGTCTGTGGGGGTGTGTGAGGGGTCTGTGTGGGGGGTGTGAGGGGTCTGTGGGGGGGTGAGAGGGGTCTGTGGGGGGTATGAGGGGTCTGTAGGGGCGTGTGAGGGGAGTGTGGGGGTGTGTGAGGGGTCTGTGGGGGGTGTGAGGGGTCTGTGGGGGGTGTGTGAGGGGTCTGTGGGGGGTGTGAGGGGTCTGTGGGGGGTGTGAGGGGTCTGTGGGGGCATGTGAGGGGTCTGTGGGGGGTGTGAGGGGTCTGTGGCGGGGTGTGAGGGGTCTGTGGGGGCATGTGAGGGGTCTGTGGGGGCGTGTGAGGGGTCTGTGGGGGGACCCCCGCGGGGCCGGCCGGCGGAGGGGGCGTGCCCGTCTTCCCGGCCCGGCCTCCGGGGGCGCCCGGCTCGGCGGCCCGGCCGGCAGGGGTTAAGCGGTGACTTCAGCCGGCGGCCGGCGCTGCGGGCGGGGGCGGCGGCCGTGCGCGGCGGCGGGACCAGGCCGCTGGCGGCGCGGGCGCACTCCCGCCGGGCCGCGACCTCGCGGGCGGCGCGGCCATTGGCTCAGCGGTAGCGGTGGCGGCGGCGGGCGCGGGGCGGGGGTGCGGGGTGGGGGCCGCCCGGCCATGGGCGCCCGGCGCGGCCAGGGCCGCTGAGGCGCGGGGCGGCCGCCGGGCCTTTGTGAGCGGCGCGGACAACAAAGGCGCGGCCGGGCGGCCGCGGCCGGTGAGTGGGCGAGCGGGGCGCGGGCCGGGCCGGGAGGGGGCTCCGCGGGCGTCGGTGGCCCCCCGGATGCCGCGAGGGGGTGGGGGCTCCCCGGGCGCTGCGGGCCGGCAGGGGCGTCGCTGGGCGTGCGGCCGGCCCTTCCCCCCAGTGATCTTCGGGTGCCCGGGGCCCCGGCGAGCGGCGCTCGGAGCCTGCTTCCCCACGCGGCCCTGCGGTGCGGCGGGTGTGTCTCTCCGCGTTTCGGGGCGTGAGGCCCCCTGAGCCGGCTCTGCCCGGCCCCTGGCCCCCAATGCGAGAGTCTCCAGAAGCCGGTGTCTGCCCAGCTTCTGGCCGGCAGGCTGGGGTGTGGGGGTGCCTCTGGGCGGGCGGGGGCCGAGCCGGCGCCTCTCCCGGGGTGTCGCCTGTGTCGTTGGAGTGGTTGTGTCACTAGTGTGAGTGCGTGTCCCTCCCCCAAGGGACGCCGTGGCCAGTGAGTGTCCTGCCCTCCGCCTGCCTCCCGACTGGCCTTTGTGCATCAGGGTGCATCCCAGCTTGTGTGTGTGTGTGTGTGTGTGTGTGTGGTGTGCATGTGCGTGTGTGTGTGCGTGTGTGTGTGTGTGACCTCTGGCAGCTTCTGCTGGGGCGGTTAAGAACCCACCCGCCCTGTGCCTCGCTTCCCCCCTTGGTCCAGGGGACCTTCAGATCCTGCTGTCACTGTGCTGGGCTCCACCTGCTTGATCTTGGAGGTCCTTAGGGTGACGTGAATTCTGGGAAGGCTCCTGTCATCTCTGGACCCTGGACCCCTGCCCAGAGGTGGAACAGGGCGACCTCACAAGAGGAAAAATTGGGAGAAGAGGGTGCCCTGGTCAGCTGGCGGCCTCGGTTGCAGAACCCAGTCAGCCTGGACACCCCTGAGACAGAGAAGCGTGTCTGGGGGGACCCTGCTGAGGATGGCCATCAGCCTCTGAGAAGGGACTAGTCTGATGGAGCAGAGTGTGGGATAGTTCTTCCCTTTTCCAGGGTGGGGTCCTGGGTAGGGGACAGAAATCTTCCAGAGCCTGAGAACCCTGTGCCACAGCAGGGAGGTGCGGTGAGGGTGGGTGGGCTGCACTGCCCACTGGCTTTGGAGCTGACACTAGCCTCTAAGTCCTTGGTCTTCCCAAGGGATTCAAACAGGGAAGCCATGCCATGCCTGCCCAGAGCCCCATCTGCTTCTCGGATGCTGGGGTGGGGGGGTTGGGGAGCATCAGTTGTACAGGCACTTAAGATGCACAGCTTTTCCTGCAGGCCCTGCCCCCAATGGCCATGGGCTGCAGCCTCCTCTGTCCTGTCTCTCCATCCTTCTCCGTTCACCCAGCACTGGGCCTGGTGGTGCACATAACATACATAAAGCACATAAAGTAGAAAGGACAACACAGTCCTAGAAGTCTCCATGACTGTGGTTTGGGGATGACCGCAGTTTGGGGATGTTCTTCCCCTTCCTCTGGCTCTCAGGGTGCGCCTCAGAACCCTCCCATGTGGTCAGATTCTCTGTGTTCCATCACATTCACCTTCCCTGGGTGTCCCTCTTCCACCAAAGAGCCTTTCCTTCTGTTATCTCTCCAGAAATTTGGTCCCATCCTGCACCTCACTTCTTACTTGGCTAGTTCAGGGGTTCTTGTTGGCCGTGCTCTGAGAGTCCTGACGCTAGGGCAGGGGTCCAGGAGGTGTAGACCTTCCAGGCTAGCAACCCCATCTGTCTGTGACCACCCACCCAGAACAGTGACTCACACCTACCTGCTGCTTGATATCTAGTTGCTGATTAAGTAGATGTCCAGGAACTAGTGGTTTCTAAATTTTGCTATTTCTATTTTTAACTTTGGAGAAGTCTGCAGCGGGGGAAAGCTGGTGGGCTCCTCAGGGCCCAGATACCAGGTTAGTGTAAGACAAAGGCCTATCGCTAATCAGATCAATAGCAAATTAATGAACAGATTTATAGTATGGTATTTCCCTCTTATCCGAGGTTTCACTTTCTGCGTTTTCAACTATCCATAATTAACCTGAATCTAAAAATGTTACATAGATATTTTGAAAAAGACCATGTTCATGTAATTTTCTAGCAATATATTATAATTGTTCTACTTTATTATTAGTTATTACTGTTGTTAATCTCTTATGGGACCTAACTTATTTTTTTAAAATATTTATTTATTTATGTATATAAGAACTGGGGTACAGGCCAGAGGTGTGTGTGTGTGGGGGGGGTTGAGAGGATTCACCACAGAGTGGAGAACAGAACAAGCAGATCTACTGAAATACACTGCTGAGGGGAGCAGTGTGTGAGACAGGTGAGGTCTGCTGCACCATGTGGGTAGCTCCCTGGCCGGGGGTCAAACTCGTGCTGCTGCAGTGGCTGTGGACAGTTTCATAGGTTGCGTATTTTTTTTTAAAGATTTATTTATTTTTATGCATGCAAGAGCTGGGGTACAGGCCAGAGGTGCAGGGGGGTGAGAGGATTCACCAGAGACAGAGTGGGGAACAGAACAGGCAGACTGACTGAAATACACTGCTGAGGGGAGCAGCTGGCGAGTCAGGAGAGGTCTGTGCACCATGTGGGTTGCTCCCTGGCCGGGGTCGAACTTGTGCTGCAGTGGCTGCAGATAGCCTCATAGGTTGCGTCTTAACACCTTGCACCACCAGGGAGGCCCAGGGTCTAACTTATTAATTGGACTTTATCATAGGTCTCTGCGTATGGGAAGAACATGGTGTATATAAGTGGTTTCAGGCATCCATTGGAGTCTTGGATAGGGGTCTCTGGAAGTGCCAGATGCGTGGCCAGGTGCCTGAGGAATTGTGATCTCTCCTTAGACAATGGGAAGGAGTAGAGTGGAAAGAATATAATCTTAGACACGTCCAGAGAAAATGAAGCAGCTGATAGTTGTTTATACACACGACAATGGTAACTTAGATCTATATTGTTCTTTCACTTGCATTATGCCTGTATTTCTACAACAGCACTGATAATTCAGCAGGGAAGACTGGTTTGTATCCATTTTATAGATGAGGAAAATGAGCCGCTGTGTCTAGTAACTGCCTGAGGTCGCAGTGAGTCAGTGGAGGACCCGGGACCCAAGCCTGCCCGGCTGCTCTGGCCTCGTCTGCGAGCTTGTCTTCATAGTCTTTGTCTTCCCATCACTTCTGTCCCATGATGGTGAATGATCCACTGTCTGTGCCCTCGGGAGTCTGAAGTCCAGGAAAGAGACTCAGACTCATAAACAAGGGAGTGGGTCAAGGTCCTCCTTCCACCCCCCAGAACCCCCGGACCCCAGCTCAGTGCCTTCTTTGTCATGTGTCCCTGGGGAGCTCCTGCCTCTCTCGCCCCTGCCTCTCTCTGCCTTGGTGGCAGGCGTCAGAGTCCCCTTCCTTTGGGGTCCTGACCCGACAGAACCCCCAGGATTGCTGGGCCTTGGCCACTGGGCTGCTGAAGTCAGTTTGTGCTGAAGCGGTGAGCTGATTGCTAAATGTTAGGAATTTTGTGAGCTGTTAACCACAGTCATTATGAAAACGTGTATGTAAATTTTAATGACATAAATGATACTAAATTTATATAAATGTATATATTAAATTATGCTAAAAACAAGGGCAGTACTTAAGATTCAGCCCTTCTTAATTACTTCACTGTCTTTCATGATCACCTGTGTGTTTGTGGGTGCTTGTGTGTGTGTGTGTGTGTGTAATGTGCATGCTACTGCCCATCTCTTCCCAACTCTGGTCGGTGATGCCATGTGGTAGCTTGAAATAAGTTATATACAGAGAAATTATTAAAGCACAACCACTGCAACCACTGCAAATCAGCGTCCCTCCTCTTCTTCCCGGGAGAACCCTTATTAAACACTCACAGCACACCGTTGGGGATCCAGCAGTGAGCACAGACACAGCCTCCACCACCCACTCTCCCAGCTTCCATTCTGGCTTGGCACCTCTCCAGGCTGGTTGAGCGTCCTCAGGGTGCAGAATGGTGGGGGGACTGGGCGGGGCCCGCTGCGGCCGTGGGGGTTATAAACTGCTTTCACTAGAAGCTTACTTGTGATATTACCATGCACCCAGAGGAGAGAAATGGATGAAAATAAGACTCAGTTGCTTTGCCATCAATGGAGTGACTACACACAAGGTAATAGAGGCATCTGGGAGGCAGAGTGGCCATGGTGTCCCAGGACAGGCTGTGGATGAGGGAAATAACTCAGGACTGGTGAAGGTGGGATGTCCAGGACATGGGTGGTGGAGCTGGCCGGGCTGGCTTAGGTAACATAGGGTCGCGACCCATGCAGAAGGGCTCAGGAGCCCATTCTGCGGGAATGAGCAGAGGCCGGCGGTTGAGTGACAGACCGCGGTGCTGGTGTAGTTTGAGGTCTGGTTGGGAGGTGGACCGTGCACACTGACAGTGGGGGTGTGTGCAGCTGTGGCAGGAGACTGGGATGGGCAGAGGGGAAGGGTCAGGTTGGAAGGAACAGCATGTGCAAAGGCTCAGAGGCATGAATGTTGAGAGATCAATCTGGCTCATGGAGTCAGGTGAACCGAGTCTGCAGGGCTTGTGGCAGAGCAGGGGAGACCGAGGCTTCCTCGAGTCAGAGGCTTCTGGGTAGCAGCAGAGGAACTGTCAGACCTCGCCTGCCAGGGCCACTGTGCTGAGGTTCTCCGCCTCCCCTGCAAGTCTTTAGGGTTACTTGCTAGAGCCTTGTTATTCCCTAGGCTGGCTCCGGCTGCAGCCCCGGCATCTGTGGCTGGTGGAGTCTCAAAAAAATTTTTCCTTTTAATATCAATCCAAACAAAACAGAATTGGGAAGGTGAGTCTGCTGCCCTCCCCTGACCCCAATAATACAAAAGAGCCACAGATAAAAGTCACTGATACTTAATTTTTCTAGTGTTTTTGATGACCTCTGCTACGTTTAGCCTTCATTTAAGTGGGTAATTGAGAGCTTATTTGTTTAAAAACACCTCCTGCCTTATGCCTGCACGTTCCATGCGTCTTTCAGGCACCAGTT